CTAGCTAGAACCCTCCTCCTAGGACCAAGGTCTTCCTAGCTAGAACCAATGCTTATATATTTATAAGATTCCCTCAAAGTGGATGTCACTGGGGCCCCTGCTCATAAGCACCCTGGGCAATCACCTGCCTGACCTCCCCCTAATGCCTGCAAGGACAGGAAAGCCTTCAGAGGCAGAGCAAAGAATAAATCTAAGGGCAAGGACAGGGGGATAGGATGGCAAGCCATGGGCTTAAAATAGAGGTACAAAGAGAAATGTGATCGACCCTGGAACTTCACCACCAGGGCTGAGGAGACAGTCACCACTTCTCGAGGTACCACAAAGGCCGACTTTGCGTTTTTTAGATAAAGTTTGAGCCTCCTTGGGCCAGCCCAAGAGCAGAACACAGCTCTGAGGCCAAGGATGGGAGGCCACTGGCAAGGAGGGGAGTGGTTTGTATTTACAAAAATCCTTTGAGAAAGAGGTGAAAAAGCATGGGGAGCCTGTCTACAGACAAAGCTGGATTTGGGAAAGATGAAATAACAGCAACCCAACCGATGACTTACACCACTTTCTAAACTTTTTGTTCATTTTTTTTAATGTCATGGACCCATTTGGCAGTCTGATAAAGCTTCTAGAGGCCTTCTCAGAAAAAGGGTATTTAAATGTATGAAACAAATCCATAGGATTACCAAGGAAATCAATTAAACTGAAATTTAGTTATCCGAGAATCCCAGTGAATACTCCATCATGTCTTCCCTAAGCTCACCTTAGCTCCTATGATGCTCCATTTCCAAAGCACATTGATTGCAATAAGCCACGCCAGATCCCAAGCACGCCATTACTCCCCTACCCAACTTTTAGCTGCAAGGATCATCCACAGAACCTGAAATTCTGCTCCCATGTTGACAGATTTATAGCCAAGGTTTCTTAAAGCTAACTTGCATCGATATCCGGTGCTTGACAAGACAAAGGGATGTCAACTGCATGCCATCTGAAGCCAACAACTCCCAGGTCTGTCCAGTTGAGATGGCCATTTGAAGGGCATCATCATGACCCTGAACCTGGCTTTCAAAGAGACAGAAACAGCAGAGTGTTGGGATGTTGTGCGGTCAATTGCCCCTGCAACACTCCCAGATCCACAAACTAATAAAACGTGGGGCCATTTTAGGTTTGAATCCCTCCTCCCCCAATTATGGTTCGGCCAAATCAAGTCAACCAGGTCACTTCTCTCTGGGTCTTCAGTTTCCGTACCCATTAGTTTGACTAAATGATCTGTTGGGGTTCTCTCACCTCAAAATCTTCTTTGAGCGATTCATGTCCTTCTCCTCAAAAAGCCAATATAGCTTGAGCACAGTAGGGCATTTGGTACGATATTAAAATGGAAGAAATGCTACAGAATCACAATGAACTCTTGCAATCATTTCCCCTGTTTGACAGATGAGGAAACTGAGACCTAGAAAGGGAAGTGACTTGCCTAAGGGTGAACAGGGACTAGTACCAGAGCTGGGATCTGAACCCATGTCTTCTGATTCTTAATTCAGGGCTCTTTCCAGAGCATTAGGAAGACAAAACATCATGGTCTTTGCCCCTGAGGCACTTCAGTTCAGAAAGATAAAGCCCAGATGAGCATACAAAGTCCAGGCCAAGACTCTGTCCTCAACAACAGCACAGTC